ATGACATTGCTCACTTATATATGCATTATATATGGCACCTCTCACCACCCCCATGTGTTGTGGAAAATCTTATTCATGACACACCTGAACTGTAATTTACTACAGCAAATTCCATTGACTAGGGAAAAAACATTCCCTTCAAAAAGTACACTTGTTTATCTATACTATTTTTAGGCACTGATAACAACTATGTTAAAACACAAAAGGTCCTATATCACACAAAATAGATTATTCTAGCTTTAAGCCATGGTTTAATGTTGTTACATCGTCAGAAACATACCTAGAGTTGTTTTTTTAATTTCATTCACACATGTTTCTGCATTATTAGTCTCTCTACATCTGCAAAACTCAAAATGCTCTGTTCCATCTTGTGATGTCATGAAGCAGTAGTTTTCACATTAACAGTTACCTTTACTTTTAGGTAGCACTTTAGATAAGATAGTGCTTATGACTTGTGACAATGCAACTGTGCACACGCCATTATCACAATGTACACGTGTACACTTCACTTGCCTGTGGGTGACTATTTTATTTTATTGTTCTTCTAATGGAATATGTTAACATTAAGTGTAAAAACTGTGATAAAGGATCAATTAAGTTAAGAAATAGCAAATGAATAAATAAATAAATTAATTAATATAATAAATTAATAAATATAATAAATGAATGAATTAATAAATAAATACATACATTAATTAAAGTAGATAAAAAGACACAGACACTACATTTATTTCTGTGTAGCCCATCACTTCACATCTCATCAAGTTTCCAAAAATTGTTGATTTAACCAACAGAAACAATCATCAGGCAAAAACAGTGGTCATACCTGCTTAATAATGCTTCATCATCTGTGAAGTTAAGCAAGGTCAAGACTGGTTAATATTTGGATGGGAGGCAAGCAGAGTGACCAACATTCAAGCAAACTGAATAACGAACCTAGATCCAGAACTGACAGCTATTGTTTGATCCTCCCCTCAGCAAAGAAAAACACACAAGGCAGGTAAAACTAAAACAAAATATCGGGGACCCAGCTTCAGTATCATTGAACAAATTGCTACCTGCCTACCCCAATTCTTTTTGTTACTGGCAAGTAGACACAATCAGTGTGGTCAGAAGATTGGAATTTTTAGAGCAATGACTTTCAACCCTGGATAATAAAGAGATGATATAAGCAGCAACATTATTAAAAATGAACATGTGACATTCTGATTGTGAGTTACTTGACAGCATTTTTACACAAACCACAAAGAAGAAATATAATAACAATGCTGTCCAGAACTTCATGTTGGCACATACAAAGAAATGTCAAAAATCTCATTTCCTGGAGTGAGTCTTTAACTTTAACTTTCTACTGAAGGATTCATGCACAGACAATCAAACATTCCAAATGCATCAACTGCTAATCTAATAGGAGCCCATTTATGACATATGGCCCTGTTGTTGTAGATTTACTGTGAGAAGGCCAGTATTAAACTGTTTTCATGGTTTATTGATTTCATTAAGACAATGAGAAGGATAGTGGCAGAGTGGCCAGAAAGTCCAGTATTGGATACCTGGGTTCTTATGTGTGATCCATGGATCTGTTGAAATATGGTCTCCCAATGTCTGGGAAAAAATTTGCATAAATGGCCAAACCTCCTGCTGTGTTGTTCTAACCAAAGCTGCACAGCAAGGTCACACTTTCTACAGGGAAAATGAGAAATACCCTAACCTGGATAGTACTTTGTGAGACAGAGTGTACAGTATAATGTCATTTATCACAATGATTCTCTACATGACTTGACACTTGCAGTATTGTCAGACATTTACTGTGCACAGTTGTTTTGTAATACCTTGTTGTTTCACCAGTAAAGAGGTCACTGTTGTACAATGGGGCAGCTATTTGATCTTACTCCTCACAATAATGCCACATAGGACATTGTCACTAGTTCTTTCAAAAGTATGGACAAGGGACAAAGCAAGAGAAGAGAGAAGAAAGATTATATTATGTTCACACACAGTGAAATGACTACCACAGTGTATAAAACTAACTTTCATATGTAAGAAACCATTGCCTGGCGCCCTGGCCCCATCTAAAAATCACCTGTATGTAAGAGTCACCATAGACCTACTGCAGTCTAGGGTAACAGGGAATTATAGTTGCACAGTAATGATAATAATTTTAAAAGCCTGCACACAATGTTGTATCATGAAATAATTAATGTTATCATGATTGGTAAGCATATTCAACATGAAAAAAATAGTTTAATATATTTAATTTATCCAGATCCATTTAATAAAATCGATTTATGACAGTCAATCTTACACACCAGTTGGCACTGTCAGAAAGCCTTATGCAATGGTTGATGTGGCAGCATCTAGATGTTATCATGTTTCGGTGAACAGGTAAAACCTGTTATGATCCCAAACCGAGACCAAACCACAGTAAACGGCAGCCAACAGTCACAAACACACTCAGATGACCTCGTACTGGGCAGAAGTTGATGAATAGTTGATGATGATATGATGTAAGTTGCTGATTCTGAATTTCATTATACTGTATAATGACAATAAAGGCTTTCTGTTCTATTCTATAGGCTAGCTCCATGGACCGTTGAGAGCTATGTATAAAATAAGACAAATTAATTAAAGCAAAGCCATCTCCATTATAATATAGATGTGCAGTCTTTATGTTATTTTCCTAGACCCGTTCAACTTGCTAATAAGCTATTTGAGTGACACTTTTTTACACTACCCCTTTTTCAATGTACCTATCTCATGAAGTACATGTAACAACATAGAGCATATAACCTGACCCCTCAGCCTACTGTACCACCATGTAATTACATGTTACAACATAGTAATAGGCACAGGAAAATTCAATGTGGCTGTATTTATATGTATCTTGTGCCACAAGATCTCGTGAGACAAAATTGAGAGTCAAAACATAAAAAAAATGGCTAAGTGGTGATAAGTTACTTTTACAATGCTTTGGTTTAAAAAAAGCTGCTGTTTGAATAAAATAAAATAAAGTAAATTACAAAATAGTAATGCCAAAATTGTGAACTGAACTGCATAATTTATTTCATATAAATAAACAAATAAATAATGTCAAAATCTATTGTTTCCAGTGGTGTCTCATCTTGTTCTTGCGGAAATTCTGTCTAGTCCGACCTCTAGCTATTTATTATATAGAATAATATATTTCATAATATAAACTTCAGCTTCCACCTGAACACTATGTGCTTACTTACAACAAGTTACAGCAACTCTTTAATCTAGTTTTGAAACAATTAATCCACATCAATGGACATGCCAATAGATTTCTGCTGTCAAGATAATCCACACAAAACTGCACTGATTTTGTAGGATTATTTTATTTAAAAAATATGTGTGAAAAAATCAGCATCTATTCAAACACGTAGAGTACATTAATAATGTGTTTATCATAAAATAAAACATGATACATGATACAGTGAACATATATAGAACTGGCTTTTCATTGTCAGCCTTATGACACACAAATATTACTCACTTCATACAAAAATACATATCATAGTGCTTGGTTTGCGAAGCTAACACAATTATACAATCTGTACAAAACTTCAGTTAATACAAATACATATTGCCCAAATAGAGCTACAAATGTCCATCGATAATTGTACCATATCAATATAAGTTGGTCATATTCATATTAAACATGCACAGTGAATAACAAAATAAAGTAAAATATAAATATGGTTCATAAAACCTACTAGAGCCATTAACAGTGGCTTACAGTTTCTGTCAACACCTTCCTGTTCTGAGGAAGTAAGTGTCATAAACTTGTTAGAGTTTAAAGTGAGCATGTGCAGTGAAGTCACATGACTGGAGTCAGCTCGCTCAACCTCCAACCGCTGGCGTTCTTCCCAAATTTGTACACCAGTCTCCTGCCATCTACACGCTCCAGGATATCACGCTTGTAATAGTACCTGCACAAAAGACAAGATTTCACAATTAGAATGATACAATAATAATTCAGTTCAAATATTATTAGGCTTAAATTTTTTGGATAAAAGCAGCATTTGCAGAGTGATAACCTAATAACTATTTTGTTTGTTAAAATCTTAAAATGTTTGTCTTTATTCATGCTTTATTTTGGCTAATTAACATATAGTTATTATTATTATTATTATTATTACGTCAGCAAAAATTACTTTCTATAAATCTGACATATATCCCAAGTTTCTCCTCACCTCATAGCACGGCTCAACTTCTCGTAAGTCATGCTGCTGTTCTTCTTCTTCTGACCCCACATCTGGGCCACGGCTTCAGACTTGAGGAACTTGAAGACCCCCTCTCGGCGGTCTTCCCACTTGAGCAGGCCGTGGTTCTTCTCGGGGTGGATCAGGATGTCACGGATGAACTCCCACAGATGAGTGCCTCGAGGGGCTAAATCATCAAAATTGTAAGGTCAGTTGTTCAGTAGACTTTTATAAATGTTTTCATTCATAAATGAACATCATTATTTATTATCACTTTATAGCTTATTGTAATAAAATAATTGACCTTATTACAGTGGCTGATAACTTGATATCTATGTGACTTATGTCAGCGGTGAGAGATGAAGGTTAGATGAAGGTTCCAAATGCCTTCTTAATATGTAAGTATGCTACCTCTGTACTGTTACAAGAGCATGAATCTTTCTATTGTTATAAAACTAACAAAAAGATTATCAATATCAAAACTATCATATTACTAGTTAATCAAATATCAAAACAATTTACCATTTCTTAATATCTTATTTTTTGTGCTAGTTTTGCTAACTCTCGACTAAAGGTATTTTATTTTGACACCACAAGACTTCTTGGACTACTCACTTCTGACTTCTGACTGAGTACTTGGCTTAAAGGTCCATGTCCCCCAATACAGATAAATTGTTTAAGCAGCTTGTAAAGTCAAAATAAACCTGCTGCATGCCGTCGGCATCTATTTATAAAGTGTTTTTTTGTCTGATAATCAGACTATGCATGTTAGCATGCTAGTTGTGTGCAACTAATTCTGTTTGTCATTTTTTTTTTTTTTTAAATCAGGTACAACTCCTTTAATGTACTTTTAATGTTAGGTGTTATTTATCTCACCATGCTTGCTCTTCTTGGGGCTGTACAGACTGTTGTGATCTCTGCTTCCTTTAGGAGGTCGTCCGCGCCTCTTCTGACAATATTCCTCCACATTCTTCTCAGTTTTGATTTCTGACCAAGACAAACACACCACTTTAGAGTTTTCTCTCTAAAAACCCAATGGTGACATGTCAATATGCAGAAATCCTTACTGTAATTGGAAGGGTAAAAGAACTCTGGTTCAGATTCGCCGCTTGTGGATTCTGGCGTGCGGAAACCAGAGAACAGATAACCTAAAAGCAAGAACACATAGTAGGTATGACATAAAAGTATATCTATATGACTGCTTCACTTTGTTTATTATTGTTAATATATACAGTAAATACTAGGTTGTGTCAATGTTTGTATTAGAGCTTACTGTTGCAGGATGAGCTGAGATCGCTGTCCGAGTGCTGATCAGAGTAGTTGCCTGTGTCAGTCAGTGTGGTGAGCTCCATGCTGAGGGGGCTCAGGTCATAGTCTTCACAGAAGGAGGTCTCTTTTTTGGGAGAAATGACTTCAGCTGCCAGAGGAGAGGACATAAAAAGTAATGTTATTATTATTTAAATTTAATATTAATATGATTTCATTGTAGAAAAGAGAAAAATGACATACCACTCTGGAGGCTTTGGCCGATGGTGATGGTGCTGAGCAGTGGGTACTTCAATTTGTCCAGGAAGGTGTCCAGGAGTTCACAAGTCTCATTCAGATCAGATGCAGACAGGAGCTGGAATTCTGGGAGGACAGCATTTAGGATTGTTAGATTTGTACTACTAGCCATTCTTAAGTCTTAAAATCAACATTTGAAACGTAATAAAAATAATAACACTTGTAGTCAAGACAATCAAAACATGTGACATTCCATAATTGCTAATCATGTTTTTTTTTTTTTTAGTGCCAATGGTTGATTTGGGTTTCTGTACAATAAAAAGTTCCAGATTGCCATAATAAAAATAGTTTTAGTCTTGTGATAGTGTAGTGCGATGTCTTTACCATGCTTGGCTTTGTGCTTGAGTAGACTCTGGTGCAGACGAGGACCGAGCTGTGGGCCAAACACTGTAATCATTTCACTCTGGGACATCCTGCACAGACTGGGGCCATCCAAAGCACAGTACGCGAGGTTGAGGGAGCGAGCATCATAGTTTGTACCCTCGATGTTATCGCTGATCCACTCCAGAACGTTCTCCAGCGACCAGCAGAGGGGACTCGCTTGCTCATACCACTGCCCTGGGACAGGACCTATACAATTCACAGAAAGGTTAAAATGAGAATATTACAGTTTTTACAAATGACTGGTCTTAATCTATGGCTGTTACTTTTGGACCTTTGTCATCATCATAGGTATTTTCATTATTAAGAGTGACTTTTTATATACATTATGCACGCAGTTCCATTTGAAAAAACATTAAATAGCTAACAAACTTTGGAGATATTATCCAGTTGTAAATACAAAATGCACTAGTTAAACAAAGAATTTTCAAAGTCACACAGTTTTATCAACAACTAACTGCTAATAGCCTCCATGGGGAATTTCACAGTTAAACATTGACCTATAAGTCAATGATTAAGGGTCACTCAAAATGAGGTCAGAGAGGTGGGCAGTAACAGACAGTTATTTGCCAAATGATTTTAAGATGCGGTCTGCACATTTTAAGGGTCTGCTTGTCTCATGAACATATTATTGTTTTGCCTGGACTGTTCCGAAGTATAGTTATGGTATAAACGTAGCTTTCATTTATTCTCAATATTACTAAAAAAGGGATACAAGATTTTGGATCCTCCTCTTAAAAACATATAGAGTCTCTTTAAACATGCATTTGAACATCAGCTGGTCCAAAATTAAAAGTAGCAAAAAACGGTTTCATTAAATTTTTTCAAGACAGTTCAGTTTGGCTATACATTTATGTTTGTATGTATATTCTCAGTTAAAATGAATAAGAGTGCACTTACTGGTGTTGTCTGTGTATTCAGTTGGGCTTGTTCGGCCAATGGGCTGTGGTGGTATCAGATCGGGCACCCCGCTCTGGTACATGGTCAGGTTGGCATTAGTCAAGACACTGCTAAGGCTCGGGGCGGCCATGGGAACACTATAGAAACACACAATTACTTAACATAAATACATCATAATACAAGTGAGACGTCTGTAAAAGTCATTATAAGCAAAACATTTAGCTTAGAGAAAATCAGACATGTTAAAAACCAAACATAACTAATCTTGTTTTAAAGAGGCCTATGATTCACCATTGAAACATAACAATTCTACCATTACTACTAATAATAATTCTAATAAAAATAATAATATATAAGACGAGCTTTACCTAGTGTGATCGCCAATGTGTAGACACTGTTCTCTGGTTAGGTTATTGCAGATACTTTTACCCTCATTGTCTTATATAGTGTGCGGGGGCAGCACTCAGGTGAGCTCAGGGGAATTCCACCTGAGCTAAGCCCCGCCCACTTCACTTTCCCAAGAACTGGACCAGCAACACAAACCTGCCCCACTCTGTCACAATAACTATCAATGTGCTTTCTTTTTTGGGCAATTACAACAGATTAAGAATACAAGTGAATTAATAAGAAGAGAAGATGAAAGATAATACCTTTAATATAATACTACAGCAGCACAATGGTCTTTTTCTGGCTATTACTTGGAATCCACATGCAATAAGATTATAGCAGTATCAACATATGACACAACAATGCATTGGTGAAGGCTTGTGAATGGAATATGCAAAAAAAACACACTGAACTGCAAAAACTAAAATCTAGCCAAGTTAAGATTACTTTAATTAAGAAAGTTAAATCATCATTTGTAAATTTCACTTAACAAATAAAATGATCTACCAGTGAAATAACACTTTTTGTACATCTTGCTACACTAAAGATAAAAAAGACAACAAGTCTTTTCACTTAAAATAAGAAACAAAATCTAGTGTTGCTTCAATGAAGAAAAATACACTTACTCCATTAGTCGATCATTTTATTTGTCAAGTTGAATGTGCTCAAATAAAGTAAAATGTTCTTAATTTAAGTCATTTTAATGTAACTAGATATTGCTTTTTGCAGTGTAAGTTTTCAATTTTTAAGAATATGTTTTTGTTTTTGAAAACACTAAAAACAAACTCAGTTATCTAAGTGAAGTACAGTTTTGTCATTCAGCAGCTCCCTTTTTGGCACTAGATCAAAGTATTACTTGACACATTCTATAAATTATTGCTTTATATGGTTATCATGAAGTACATTTGAATAATTCTGAAGAAAGGCAAGGCAAGTTTATTTGTATAGTGCATACATAAAACCCAGCATAAACAAATCATCATTAATAATCATTAATAATCATTAATAATCATAATTATTAATAATTATTAATAATCATAAAATCATATATTAATAATAATCATCATAAAAATTAACATTAAAAGAGAAGCGTGTGGAATAAAAAATGTCCAATCATATGAACAGCTAAACTGAGTCTGAATTTAAACAATGTGAGATGTGCTGGACTGTAATTACCTCCGCCAAGGAGGTTATGTTTTTGCCGGCGTTTGTCTGTTTGTTTGTTTGTCTGTTTGTTTGTTTGTTTGTCTTTTAGCAACATAACTCAAAAAGTTATGGACCGATTTTGATGACATTTTCAGGATTTGTTGGAAATGTGAAAAGGAAGAACTGATTTCATTTTGGGGGTGATCCGGAAAAAATCCTGTATTCTGGATCACTTTGAAATTTTAGTTAACATTGTGGTAAATGGGGCCAAAAAAAACCACACAACTGCCCAAATAAGGAGTCCACACAAATATAAAAAAGAGTCCAGATCACAATTTCATTATAATGATGATTCATGTAAGGATTCATGTATCCTTATATTTTGTTGAAGAAGTAACTAAAGTCCTCTGCTTCTTCTAAAAGTTCACACATTACAATATAATTGGTTACACCCACCTGTCACTCACAGTGCATTGCTGAGGGTGACCAATAGGAGGATTGGGTGGGAGTATTCAAGAACAAATTAGTGATCACCATATTGCCCAGCTCTAATTTGCGCTGGCAATCAATTATAGTAATAAAGTGTCATCCATTGAAAATACTTCAATATTCAAATAGGTACTTAATTACCTATTTAATATCGCATGCTAGACTTGCTCAGGGAGTTTGCGCTGATTATGCAACAAATAACTACTTTTACTGAAGGGCATTTTATACATATAGTTTGTGTGTCCATGCTCGCATCTCATGGCATCAGCCGCAGGTGTGGTGTCTGTGGACTAACTGAAACTGTCAGGCGTGTGTTTACTCAGAGTGAACCCTGAGTCCTCTGGTCAATCATTCAGAGCATTATCACATATGTGCACACTCGTCAACACTGTCTTTGTCCAATCTGACATCATTGTTGGCGCTTGGAAACTTACACAACAGATTCCACGCTGAACATAACATTTAAATAGTGGAGGCTGTTATAGAAAATGTGTGTGTGGTTGTGGTGGGAAAGCAAAAATAACCACTCTCTTCAGGCATGTAGCACTTACACTAGTGCAAAGCAAAGTCTGTCTATGGAGTTGGTTTGGAAGTGTGTGAATAAAAACATATTTTGATTGCTATTTGACTCATTTTAATAATAATAATAATCAGAGTACAACTTCATCACAATGGCCAATTGGTGCCATCAGCCCCTCCAACCCACCAACAACCATCAATACTTACACACACCACATTTATACAAGGCACTGTGGGTGAAATGCCTTGCCTTAGGGCACAACAACTACAGTTTTGCTGCTGGCACCCTATGTGGCATTTGATATTCCCAGCAGTCTCTCATCCGAGTACTAACCAGGTCAGCCTAGATCAGGCTTTGACAAACCAGTATGGTCACACACATTCAGAAATATAAAGTTAAAATAATACTTTGGAATATTTTTCATGGATATAGATATGTTTTATGCCATACTGTGGGATGTTATAGCCAAAGGAATAATATTACCATGGAAACAAGCAGGAGGAGGCTCTACACCAGGCCAAATAAGTCAAGTTTGTGGAAATGCAAACCAACAAAATCAAAAAGTGTTTCGGTTCAAGTTTTATGAACAACTGCAAACCAAAGTGCATCAGATGAAATTCAATAAGAGTAACTTTGTGACACACCTATGTTTCCCACAAAGCAGTATTTTATGGTTATATTAAGATGTGATCAATAGAGTGTGGAACTTCTCTTTAAACTGTTTAACCTTTTGATGTAATGATCGTTGGGGTCACTTCACACCAATGTAATGTTCTGACTGACAGACATATTCTTCAAGACAATGCCCTGAACACAACATATGAGACATCGTGAGCTTTTGTAGCACACAGACAAAAGGTGAAAAAAAAAATGCAGTTAAAGGATTGAGTAACTCTGTAGCATGTGGGCAGAGTGAGACGTCGTCACAATACGCCTGGCTTTTCCAAAGTGTCCTAATGAGCCACAGTCTTACTCTAAACGTGTGCCCCTCCTTGCTGGTGTCAGGGAAAACAGAGGAATGTGGACACTCCCGTTTGAGCAGCACTTACGGAAAATTATTTCATCACCTGCCATTCAAGCTCTTCATCTCAAATGTACCTGGGTTTTTCAGTGTCAACGTAACAAAGGCATTTGTAAAGCTATCCAAACTATAACAAAGACAGTCTTTCGGCTATTGAAAAAACAACAACTTTGTGTTTACATAGGAAAGGGCAGTATGATAGCTTAATAATTTACAATTAAATGTAAAATGTAAGATATTTTGAAATCACAATAATTCCAAATAACTCTTATATTTATTTTGTTGAACTGAAATTATTAAACCATATGTGATTTTGTGTAGGGAGTTGACAATAACTATAACCATTGCTTGGCTACAGTCAGTGTTGGGAAGGTTACTTTTAAAATGTATTCCTCTACAGATTACATACCCCAAAATGTAGTTTGTAACAGAATCCATTAAGTTACTTAAGGTGAGTAACCTAATCTGAATAAAACTACATGAATGTAGCAATCACATCCTGAAAATTCATGTTTGTTGTCTTCAAATTGGCTGTTGAGCCCAAGTCTTGAAGAAAAGACAAGCAAAGACGAGGATATGTTAACATGAGATGTTTTGTCTGCTAAAGGACAATAAAAAGCCCAGACTTTCCTTAAACATATTAATATTACTGATAGAGAAATTATTTCTATATGAGGTCACCTTAAATTATGTCCACCCTACTGTTAGGTGTCATGTTTAGACCTGGTTTAGTCCTGGTTTAGACCTGGTTTAGTTCTGGTTTTAGTCCTGGTTTTAGACCTGATTTTAGACCTGGTTTAGTCCTGGACTGGGTTAGTCCTGGTTTAAGTCCTGGTGTTAGTTCTGGTTTAGAGGTGCACAGGAGGAAACGCGGTCTACGCAGCGTACGCGAGAAAACACGGTCCACAGGCGGTGCACGGGGGGACGGCGGTGTCCGCACAGTAACTACAGGAGATGTGGTCCGTGCGTTCTCAGGCTGATGACGATGATGATGAACGTGTGTGTTTGTGTGTGTTTGTGTGTGTTTGTGTGCGTGTCCCCTCATGTGGCAGGTCATTATAGAACAGTAGTGCAGATATCATGAGCCTATGCAGGTTGTTTTCACCGTTGCCAGTAGCTCCGGTTTGACATTTAACTTGTAGGCGATTTTATATTTGTTATTTTCTTTTATATCTCATGCCAGGAGAAGAATTGCCAAGACACAAATGTGTTTTTACTTGTGCGCTGCTGGCTCTGTTCTACTGGCTCTTCGACCTCGTCCACTGTGTGACTGACGCCGCCAACGTTAACATGACGTTTACGTAGCTCTTACTGCACGCGTTCTGTGTGGGCAAAAAAATACATAAATCAACGGGATGTAGCACAAAATGTGAAAACAGGAAAATACTGCCATGTAATCCATTTATTTCAGAAAAGTAACTGTAATCCAATTACCACTCACTGAAACAGTCACTCTGATTACGTAACGGCGGTACATGTAATCTGTTATTCCCGAACACTGGCTACAGCTCAGACCTTACTAAACTGATGCTCAAAAGATTTATTTTAATGACTCTTAATAAAATAAAAGCAAAAAGGAAAATCTAACTTTGGATTTTACAGTGTCCTCAAAGAGACATAGTGATAAAAGGTTATAATAATAATGTAACCCAGGGGACTCCACGTCTGCCGCTCTTCACTGTGGAGTCCCCCAAGGTTCAATGCTTGGACCTGTTCTTTTTATGCTACACCTTCTTCCTCTTGGACAGCTGCTAAAAAACATGGCATTCTGTATCATTTGTATGCAGATGATACACAGCTCTATTTACCTTTAAAAAAGAACCGCACAAGTCCCTTGACACCTTAATGATGCCAGGGTTTGGTTGACTAA